CAACCAGTAAGTCTGAACTTTTTAAAAATTTGAGTTCTGTTTCACATTTTTCTCCCTTCTATCCAGCTCCATCTATTATGGCCCTATTCCAAATGGTTGACAGTGATAGCTAGGCACTATCTAGTTCTTCTGGTTTCAGGGTAGATGAGGCCATGGTTTGTGTGGATTGTTAGTCCAGATGTAGCACTGTAGGATAAGCACTGGACTGCTGACTACAAGGTTGGTGGTTCAAACCCACCAGCCGCTCCTCTCCTATTCGGGATTGCTGTGATTTGGAACTGACTCAGTGGCACTTAACAATGACAGTAATATTAGTCCATTAAACTACTTTGTTTGAGTTTTGGGTTTCCTTTGTTCTCTTTTGTAAGACCCTTACCACTCACCACATTTGGATGGAACATAACACTTGTGAATTGTAAGAGGGGCCTTCAAAAAGTTTGTGGAAAAATGCAATTAAACAATAATAGAATTGTTGCATGAAGCCCCATTGTATTTTGCCAGTTGACTGAGTTGTCTAAGATTTCAAACCCAGAAAACCAATCTTGTGAGGTATTTTGTTACGTGAAGAAAGTGGAGGCTCAGCAAAAAAGAGGAAGGCCCCCAATGAGGTGGCTTGACACCGAGGCAGCAGCAACTGACTCAACTGTAACAATTGTGAAGATGGAACAGTGTTTTGCTCTGTTGTGCATAGGGTCTCTATGAGTCGGAACTGACTCGACAGCACCTAACAACGCGTATCAGTAACTGTGCCATCTATGTGGTTATTTATTCTCTTTTTTATGAGAGTACTTTATATAGTCTGGATTGTTTTCTACCCTTTGCCATCGAGTTGATTTCCAACTCATTGCAACCCCATGCATTACAGAGCAGAACTAGCTATTCCATAGCTTTTAAATAGTTGAGTAATCTTTACAGAAACAGATCACCAGACCTTTCTTCCACAAAGCTGCTGGGTATGCTGGAACTTGAAACCTTCAGGTCAGCTTGTTGTTGTTGTGAAGTGCTGTCAAATTGGTTCTAATCGACATAGCGACCCTGTATAGGATTTCTGAGGAGTGACTGGTGAGCTTGAACGTCAACCTTCTGGTTCAGAGCAATTTGGCAGTCTGATGCATTAACCCACAGCGCCACACGAGGACTCCCAATGATTGATACCTCCCAGGGATCTGATATGAACATTAGATTATCAGACCCTTATGAATTCTTTCCCATTCTACGGGTTGTTGTTGTTGAGAACCACACCATTGAGTAAGTTCCGACTCACGGTGATACTGTATAGGAGAGGCTGGTGGTTTTGAATTGCTGACCCTGAAGTTAGCAATTCAGTACTTATGCTATAGTGCCACATCAGGACTTCTGTATGAAGTGTTATATAGCAGGACAGTAAAAGGTCAGATAGTAAATGTGTTAGGTTTCGTGAGCCATGTGATCTCTGTCGAATCAGTTCTGACTCTTAGTGACCTAGTCTAGGGTTTCCAAGGAGTTTGAACTGCCAACGTTGTGACTAGCAGTCCAGTGCTTATCCTACAGCACTACACCTTATAGTAATCATTTAAAGGAAAGCTTTGTTTATCCCCTGATTTCAGAAAATTAGATTTTTCATTCTTGATTTTGTTGTTAAGTGCTGTCGAATTGATTCCAATTCATAGTGACCCTGTATAGGATTTCCAAGGAGCAGCTGGTGAGTTTGAATCACCGACCTTGTAAAACGAACTGACCTTGTGGTCCAGTGTTCTTTCCCACAGCGCCACACCAGGACTTCACTCTTGATTTTAGGAGTAAAAAAAGATACTTTGCAAACACTATTAACTTTAAATGTATTTTGATAAATAATATTAAAGTCAAACCTAGGTATATGTTGAACATTTTCAGTGTGAAATTACACTACAGATGTTCAAGTAGAATTTAAGCAATCCTTCAACAGTAAGACAAGAGGGATGGGATTTGTTGGTTTGTGAGCTCTTTCCATTTGACCTCATTTCCTTAGAGACATAATTTGTTTTCATGTTCTCAGACAGGATTTTCCTGTCAAACAGCCTGAACTAGATCAGCAGCTTTTCTGCCCTTTACTTCCTGCATGTTTATCTTCAGTAAAGATTATATACTGGTGCCTCATTATAAAATAAACCACTGAGTGTCTTTCCATTAAAGGGAAATGGTGATTATATATTTGAGCTTGTGGCTTTCAAAGGTGATTAGTTTGATCTTTAGGCAAACATTTATAGGTGGTCCATAAATAGAAAACATGGATATTTAAAGTTTGCTGCTACTCTTTAAAAAAAGAAAAAATGTTTTTCTGCTATAATTTTTTTTTCAAGCAAGTCCAAGGTTTATTAAAGCAGAGACGTTCTCCCAGAGAGTAGAGTAGGCTACTCCTCTGGAGCTCTCGAGTGAGGACAGTACCAAGTTAAATTTTGTTTTTAATGTTTTATTGTGAATTATGTGATAGTTTGTTTACATGGGAGAACATTCATCCTATCATAAATAGTTTTGTTGCCATGGTTACAGTCCCCTCCATGCATCATCAACCAACCACAGGGTATACCCTGCAAGTCCCCCTTCCACCCCACCCCCCGAGGGACCTCCACTCCTAGACTGCAAAGTTAATCACTCCCCTCCTTGCTACAAAACGTCCACCTTTACATTTCCAACCCACACAGTCGGTCCTGATTACAGTTATTCACTATTGTATCACAAGAGACCTATCTGCATTTCCTTTCATCAGCCCTGCCTACACAGATAGGATCCTACTCAGTGGAGATCCTACCTTCCTCCACGCCCTCTGGATCTAGATTCCCTCTTGAAAGCTTGTAAGCCAGTCACTTCTTGCCTTTGAAGCCTCCCTACCCCCCTATTTTGGGTAGCCAATGTCCAAGTTGCCCATCCCTAACTACTCTGTATATGGAGGGGTTGGGAATGATCCTTGCTATAAAGATTTGTTCCCTCTTTTGAGCTACTGCATCCATAGGTGTAGGTCAAGTTCATCGAATTATATCAGATTACTCTTTTTTTTACCTCTTCTTTCTTCTTCTAGTTGAGCTCTGATCATCCAGTCATTGAAGCCAGGTCAAGTGGGTATTATTTGCAAGTGTGGATGATCTTGTTCATATGCCCTCTCTTCTTTTCAGCTGGACACTTCACTCTCCACTCTAGTTCTCTGTAGCTATGTCACTGACTCTGGGCCCAAGAGTCCCCAGGTCTTGCCACACTGCTGACCAACCAGGTCTCCACCACGGTTCAGAGGAATTTATTGAACATTGTAGGGCTTAGCTTGCCATTTCATTGCTGTTTTTCCCTTACTTCCCCTTATCAGTGATGAACATGGTCACTAATCAGAGTGTGTATTCCCATTGAGTCTTCGTCTTGGGAGAGGGTTTGCTCTGAGGGGACCCGACCACTTGCCTTGATGTCTCCTGGGTGAGCAACTTGCTTGTTCTTATAGTAATCAGTCAGTCTACCTATGTTGTTTTGTATTTTTCCTGTTGGCCTTTCTTTCAAGCAGTATCTTCTGTTCTTCTAGCCGCTCCAGGCTGGTCTGCTTGTCCTTTCAAGTGGAAATTTTCCTCCTCTGAAGATTCTGGATGCTGTTCAGGATTCCACTTATGGCGTTATGTAATGCAGAGGCTCTGCAGGAGGCCTCCTTCACTGGGCACGCTGTAGCCCCATTTTAGGTATTCCAACCAATTATAGGCAGAAGACGGACTTACACGCTTTCTATGGTGATATTTCTGGCTTTTTCTGCTATACTTTATCCAGAATGTTTTTGATTGATCTTGTGTTTAAGAAGGAATGTAAGAATGAAATTTATTTTAAATGTGGACATGGCTGATTTTTTTTTTTTTTTTTTTTTTTACTTAGATTATTTTGTGCAGATTTAGGAGTACTTGCCAAGGCAGTTTTTCCTAAAATCCCTGGACATTCAAAATATTCCCAGAGGAGAGAAATGCGTATCAGTTTTTTTAATTCTTTTTCCCTGTAGTTCTACCTGTTTAGTTGGATTACACAAAGATAGCATCTAGACATACCAACATGGGACTAATTCTTATGTATCTTTTGCTCAGTGTCTGTCAGAAATTTGTAGAGGATTCACTACCATGCTGCTTTTTGAAGTAGGGATAGGCTTAAAGAAGGCTAAGAGTATATGTCCGTATGTCTACTTTCTAAAACCATGCTTGGACAAAAAAAGGAAAAAAATCACCTTTAGCTTCACAGAGGATGCTCTGTTGTTGATGCATTAAAATTGAGGAAGTTTTTATTTTCATTTTCATTGTATTGCATTTGAAAGCTGTATGATAGATAATCTCTTAAGTCAATATGACTGAAAATTTTTAGTTTCTTAGTAGTTTTTAGTTCAGTAATTCCCATTTGTCTCCTTTGGGGTCAAGATAAAAATAAGTATGGAGTGAAATAATTTTTTTCTTTAAAGTTTTTTAAAATGCTGCTCGTTTAGGAGAACCAGAGCCTCTTTCAACTTCTCTGTATATTTGAAAATTTTCATAATAAAATGTTGGAAATTGTGTAATCTACTTTTACTTTGCTTTTCAGAGTTCATTCAAGAGTTTCAATAAGATAATTACTAAATTTTTTCATAGTGGTAGTCTTTAAAATTAACATCAGTGAAGGTAAGTCCTTGTAGTACAGTAATTAGGCACTTGGTTGCTAACAAAAAGATCAGTAGTTTGAACCCACCAGCTGCTCCAAGGGAGAAAGATGTCCTGTAGGATTGCTGAAAGTTAGAGTTGACTCAATAGCAGTGGGTTTGGTTAGGGTTAGTAAATGGGAGGTAGAAAGAGTCAAAACCAATCCTTTCTAAAACTAAAGTGAAAGAACCTGGTGGAAACGAACAAAAGGTCATTTACTCACGTATCTTATTGTGTAAGCGAGGGTTTTGTTTTCTGTAGCTAGTGGGGTGCATAGCTTTCTTTTTAGTGAGTCTTTAACTTTAAACACTTCGAAATTATTTTCTTTTCTTTTGCTGAACTTTATTTTTTCTTTTGCAGCATCCACCCGTTTTGTGAAGTGTGAAAAATGTCATCATTTTTTTGTCGTGCTATCTGAAGCAGACTCAAAGAAAAGCATCGTTAAAGAACCCGAATCAGCAGCAGAAGCTGTAAAATTGGCATTCCAACAGAAACCACCTCCACCTCCCAAGAAGGTATAAGTCTTAGCTCAATCTTATAAGTATTTTATCTTGGTAATATTTCATTCTCTCTAATTTTTACTGAGCCCTAATATTAGTATAAGGAACTCTGGTAGCGTAGTAGTTATGAATCGAGCTGCTAACCTCAAGGTCGGCAGTTTGAAACTACCAGCCGTTCCACGGGAGAAAGATGAGGCTTTCTGCTCCCGTAAAGATTTACAGCCTCAGAAACTGTGTTTAGGGTCACTATGAGTTGGAACCGACTCCATGGTACTTAACAACAACAACAATACTAGTATGGAGTCCTGGTGTGTTGCTGTGGCCTAATGCATCAGACTGCAAAGTCATTTGAACTGCAAAGGTTGGTGGTTCAAACTCACCAGCTGTTCCTTGGGAACCCAATACAGGGTTGCTATGGGTCGGCATCGGCTCGATGCCACTTAACAACAACAACAATACTAGTATAGAAACAAATATTATAAATTCATAATAGGACTATGTACAGCTAAGTTATTGATACCTGATATTTAGAATTTACATATGGAATCCACTGCTTTCCCCCCATTAACATGATTACTGCATTCAGTAACAACGAAATATAGTTAGATGACTGTTAAAGTAATATTGATCAACTAGTTCAATGGACTAGCAGAAACTGGAGCATGAGTCTCCATGACCCAGAGACCGGTAGAACTAGATGGTGCCCAGCTACCACTGCCAATGCTCTGAATGGGATCATTGCATTAGAAGGTCCTGGATAGAGTAGGATGAAAATGTGAAACAAAATAAAATCATAAGGCCAGGTTTATTGGTCAAAGACTGGTGGACCCCCTGAGATTGTGGCCCTTAGTCACCCTTCAGATTTCAAAATGAACTCATCATCATGGCGCAGGTTTCAGCCAAACAACAGACAGGTCTCTATGGAAACAATAATAGGAGGAAGGTATGTGTACCTTAAGTAATCAGCCATTTGCAGTTGACAGTTTTTACCCAAGGACAAACTTTTGAAAGCAGGAAGGGTTAGAAAAGGAGGAGGAGTGAGGAAGTGGGATAAGTGATATTGCCTTACGGGGATTACAGTCAATGAGATGAAACAAAATGTATATGAATTGTTGAATGGAAAATGATCAGCTATGTAAACCTTCACCCAGTTCACAATAAAATGTTAAGTCAATCTAAAAGAATAATATTACGATATAGCATCTATGAATTTATTTTGTAATTTTGGGCAATGGTGTTCTGGTGTGGCGCTGTGGATTAGTGTGCTAGACTACAAAGTTGGTTTGAACCTCAGGGTTGGCGGTACAAGCTCGCTGGTTGCTCCTCGGAAACCCTGTATAAGGTCGCTGTGGGTCAGAACCAACACAATGGCACTTAACAACAATAACAAATAACACCAAATGGCAGTTTTCCCCTTTAAATTAGCCTATTTTGTGGTAAAACTGGCTTCAAGCTTACTGTGTAACAAGTAAATATTTGTGTCCAGGGTGCAAGTGCTCCCCTGTATAGCATTGTTACTTTTGTGTTGTGGCTTCTTTCCAGGTCTCTCATATGGAGTGGGGGCTCAGTGTATGCCCTCTGTCCCCTGACTGTGTGCCTTTTGCTCCAGCCATGTCTAGATGTTTGTGTACTTAGATTATTTCTTACCCTCTTCCTCAGTGTAGCTTTCTTCTTCCATGCTCAAAGTCAAGTACATTTGTCTTTACCTTCAAATGTGCTGTGGCAGATTTATTAATTCATGGATATTACTTATAAGGAATGAAAAATATTTTTAACACCTATAATAAACTCTGTGTCAGCAAAAATGTGACTACGTGTGTTTCTCGTGTAAAAACAAGTATTGTAATAAATAATGGAAAATGTAGCCATTAAGGTTCATATTATCTATTAATTTTTATAGGCATTAGACTTATGAGTTGAAGTTCTAGAAAATTATTTTCAAGAGTTAGTAAATATTCATAGTTCATTTCTATTCACGAAAAGCTGAAGAGATTTGCCCCAGATTTCAAACTCTTGGCAAGTTTGAAGTATGACATAGAGCTTTAGTTTAGACTAAAGCTTTTAGATTGCTATGTAACTGACTGACTAGCTTTAATATTAGTATCTAAGTGAAAAACGAAATGTTAATTTCTGATTATGAAAGTGCACTGATACTGGTAGTATAATGGCTTTTGACTGTATGATTCTTTTTTCTAAACTGTAATTTATAATATATTATTTTGTATTATGTGATTGAGAGAGGTGTACACAAGTTTTAAGTTAATAATTTATTAACAAGTAATGCCTTTAACTCATGATGGTATGTGTAGCTAGCTAATCTAAGTGACTTTAATACTACTAACTTCTTAAAAAAATTAATATTAAAAAATAAATAAAAATAAACCTGCTATAACCCTAAAAATTAGACCAAACCTTACTCCTAGCCCTAGTCTAACCCTTACCCCAACACTAACCCTAGTTCTAACTATAACTTTAACAGTACACGAAGTCCTGGGTCAGCCTAGATCTAGCCATAGTCGTAACCCTAACCCTCAATCCTCACCTACCCATGCCCCCCCAAATAAGAAAGAAAAAAAATGTAAGCTCAATAGCAATATTTATAGACTAGGAATAATATCAGTAGCACATGGAGATAGTTTGTTAAACTAGAGAACATAGGAATTGTTTTTTGTTCACAGTATAAACTCTAAATGGTCTTTGAATCATTGCTATATAATATATCATACCCATGGCATTTTGCTTTTAATGAATATCTGTAGTCAAATTTAAAACTGTAGGCAAATATGCTCAATATTTAACTTTTAAATGTGTGTTTTTGTGCTAACTACCTGCCTACTGGATGGAGTCCTGGTGTGGCTCTGTGGGTTAATGCACCAGACTGCAAAGCCATTTGAACTACAACATTGGTGGTTCAAGCTCACCAGCTGTTCCTCAGAACTCCTGTACAGGGTCGCTATGGGTCGGAACCTGACTTGACAGCACTTAACAACTATACCAACCTGCCTACCGGAGTCCTAGTGTGGCACTGTGGAATAAGCACTGGACTGCTAACCATAATCTGAGCATTACACACCCAGTAGCTGCTTCTTGGAAGCCCTATACAGGGTCTTTATGAGTTGGCACCAACTCGAAGGCACTTAACAGCAACAGCTATCTACTGCCACTGAGTCGAATCTGACTTACAGTGACCCTTTAGGGTAGAGCAGTACTGCCCCTTTGGGTTTCTGAGACTGTAAATCTTTTTACAGGAGGAAATCAGCTTCATTTTTTCTCTCACAGAGCAACTGGTGGGTTCAAATCGCTGACCCTTTGATGAGCAACCCAATGTGTAACCCACTACAGCACCAGTGTTCCTTTGTTTTTATGCTAACTCATAGTGAATTAATCATACCTATCATTTTTCAGATTTACAACTACCTCGACAAGTATGTTGTTGGTCAGTCTTTTGCTAAGAAGGTGCTTTCAGTTGCTGTGTACAATCACTATAAGAGAATATATAATAATATCCCAGCTAATCTGAGACAACAAGCAGAGGTTGAGAAGCAGACATCGTTAACACCTAGAGGTTAGTATTTTTGAGACTTAACCAAAACAGAGATTACTTTGCATAGAGGTAATCTTTATTTGTAACTCTTTGCTTGGTCTTAGAATGTACAGTGTTTTTCAAGTTGGATGTCATTTTCCTATAGTGGGTTATGTAAACGTTTTGGTTGGTTGCCAATAGCATTTTTCTAAAAAGTATAATAGGTGAGAATAGACAATTTCAGATGAATTAATTTGTAGTTAAGGTAAGTGTTCTTGAAACTTTTGTTTTCACTTATAGAGTGTCTCAAAAAATATTTGACAGCCACTGGGGGAGAGATTGAGAGGTCATTGTTGACCATGATTGGATGACAACAATGCACTATACTACTCGTAAGTTTTTCTCTTTTGGGTTTAGGATACAGAATTTCATTTGCCCAAGTTGGAGAGATATGGAGATAGTAACTGTTGTACAGTATATCCATCACTCTTTGTGAACCCAGCTGTAGAGTCTAAGGATAATGGTAAATTTCTATAAATAATAGATTCTGAACCACTAGTATACTTCATAATCTCAACTTGATATAGACAATAATGTGTATTAGTAGAATGATCTTATAAAAAATAATATAAATACACTAAGATAGAGATATTTAAGGTTTTATTTTGGTGATTAAAGAACTCTGATTTAGACTTATAATTGATCATTTTAGATACTTTTAACTATCACTTTATTACTTGAGAGAGTTCTGCTAAATGCTTGCAGCTTAATTAACTAAGTTAATAAAAATACGTCCTGGTGTGGCGCTATGGGTTAATGCACTAGACTGCAAAGTAGCTTTAAACGCAAGGTCTGTGGTTCAAGCTCACCAACTACTCCTCGGAAACCCTATACACCTATACAGGGTCACTATGGGTCGGAACCGACTCAAAGACACTTAGCAACATCACCACAACACCTATTGATTACTTTCAGTAACTACTTAAATATATAGCTGATTTCAATGAAAACACTTGTCAAACTACTTCAAAACAGCTATATAGCAGTACCGATTGTTTTTTGAAAATATAAATCATAACAAATGGGAGATTTGGAACCTTGCTTGAAGGTTCAGTTAGCGCTATCTATAATTGTCAATACAATAGAATTCCTAAAATACCGAACAATATAGTAATGTCATATGAAAGTAAGATTTTGCTGAAGATAATTTAAGAAGGGTTGCAGCAATATATCAATATGGAGTTGCCAGAAATTCAGTCTGAATTCAGAAGAGGATATGGACTGAGGAATATCCTAACTATTATTAGGTGGATGTTGGCTAAAAGCAGAGAATACCACAAAGATGTTTACCTGTGTTGTATTGACTCTAAAGACATTTGACTATGTGGATCATAACAAACTATGGGTAACATTGCAAAGAACAGTTAATTATGCTCATTTGAAAACATATACATACATAGACAAGAGGCAGTCAACCAAACAAGCAGGGGATACTGAGAGGTTTCAATTCAGGAAAGCTTGTATCCTCTCATCAATTTGTATGCTGAGCAAATAATCCAATGAATTGGACTACGAAGAACAGCAGCATAAGGATTGAAAGAAGACTCATTAACGACTTGTAATATGCAGATGACAAAACTTTGCTTGCTGAAAGTGAAGAGGACTTGAAACACTTACTGATGAAGATTGAAGACTACAGCCTTCAGTATGGTTTATACATCAATGTAAAGCAAACAGAAATACTCACAACTGGAATAAACACTATCATGAAATATGGAGAAGATTGAAGTTGTCAAGGATTTTATTTCGGATCCACAATCACTGCCAATGGAAGCAGCAATCAAGAACTCACATGACTTATTGCATTGGGTATATCTTCTGCAAAAGAACTCTTTAAAGCATTAAAGAGCAAAGATGTTGCTTTAGGACTAAGATGTGCCTGGCCCAAGTCATGGTCTTTTCAGTCAATTCATATGCATGTGAATGTTGGACAGTGAATAAGGAAAACTAGAGAAGATTGTTGTTGTTAAGTGCCACAGAGTCGGTTCCGACCCATAGTGACCCTGTATAGGGTTTCCGAGGAGAAGCTGGTAAGCTTAAACTGCCGACCTTGCAGTTCAAGTGGCTTTGCAGTCTGGCGCATTAACCCACAGCACCACACCAGGACTCCATCGATACATTTGAATTATGGTGTTGGCAAAGAATATTGAAATTACCATAGACTGCCAAAGAACAAACATCTGTCCTGGAAGAAGTATCCTAAGAAGTAAGGATGGCGAGACTTTATCATTGGACATATTATCAGAAAGGGCCAGTTACTAGAGAAGGATGTTACCCTTGGTTAAGTAAAGGGTCACTAAAGAGCAGAAGCCCTTCGGTGAGATGAACTGACATAGTGACTGCAAAAATGAGCTCAAACAACAATTGTGAAGATGGTGCAGGACCACACGGTGTTGGATATACAGTCACTTTGAGTCTGAATGGACTTGATGGTACCTGACAACAACATAGTTCTAAAAATAGCTCTATCATTTTTCTGGTTCATTCAGTGAACAAAACAGTACTTACAATACTATTCCAGGGGCTGAAAGACAAATGGTTATATGGTATGTATAATGTAAGGGGTTTAATTCTTATTTTATTGAAGATTTAAATTATAACTACTCTCTTCTTAAAATAAATACCAACTTTGTATTGGAAAAAGTGTAACTTTTAGATCCTAGATAGCCATCATTTAGCATTTTGTTTTATTTTTAAATATAGAAATTGTGACACTTATAGGTTCTTTCATAATATGATAAGCTGAAAACTATTATAATGAACACATCCTTTAAATTTGTTTGGAAGAGGGCAAGAAATGGGGTACTCCTTATTTGTTCCTCCAAACTAAACAAGCTTGTTTTATTTTCATGTTGCCATTTTCATCCTCTTTCTTAGAGTTAGAAATCAGAAGACGGGAGGATGAGTACAGATTTACAAGTAAGTGACCTCTTCTTAGGTCCTCCTCTGTAATCATTCTTCCTTTTGAGATTTACCTTAGATAAGTGTGTCAGCAGTAGTGATAGTAGTCATGTATTCCTGTGTATTACCAAAGAAAGATACACATTGTTTAAATGTGCTTGCCATATAAGGTATAACTTTGGGGTCGTTTTTTGTAGTTAATTTGTATAGTTGTATATGTTGGATTATTTCAGCTACTTAATTATATCATTTCTATTACACTGTTTCTTTTTAAAGCATAATTTAGAGAAATATAAAGTATTATATATTGCTTTCCCTCTGTAAATAATTATGTTGTTGTTAAGTGTTCAAACCATGTAAGATAGAAACTATTATTCTCATACCCATTTTACAGGTAAGAAAACTGAAGCACAATGTAAGACACTTCATAACAGCAACATGTATGCACACAATTCCTAGTGTGGCACTGTAGGATAAGCACTGGACTACTAACCACTAGGTCAATGGTTCAAACGCACCAGACATTCTTCAGAAACACTATATGGGGTCGCTGAGTTGGAACCAGCTCAATAGCACTTAACAACAACAAAGGACTAATCATTAGAAAAACATACTTAATTTATCAACACTGCCATGAATTTTATTACATAAAATAGAATTACATCATCCCCAGTTGTCTTAAATTATATGGAAATATGATTATACTGTGCAGAGTAAAATTAAGAAGTATAGTAAATAGAGTAGAATTAGACTACATATAAGAAAGTAAGATCTAAATGATAAACTCTAGGTGCCTTTATAATTTATAAAAAGAATTCAATGTATAGTAAATACTATAAAAGTTAGATGTGATGGCTGCTGAAATCAGTATGAATTAGTAAAGAAAAGGCTATATTGAATATGCTGAAAGAAATAATGTGACACATGTACTGATTTGATATAATGGAAATGTTAACAAGTAACAGTGTTTTAAGAATTTAGGTAAAAAGAATTTGTAAGTATATTGATTGACTTGGAAATGAGTATTTGAAAGCTTAACTATAATTTACTTTTATGTACAGTTTAATCTTTTCCTTCCATTCAAACCCATCAACTACTCTGTGGGAGGAAGCTGAGGCTGTCTGCTCCCATAAAGGTTTCCGGTCTTGGAAACCCAGTGTAAGGGTGTTCTCAGGTGACTCAATGACAGTGGCTTTGTTGCTGGTTTGTTAATGTGGGATTTTCAGTTATAAATTTGGGCATTGGACCAAAATCATATATAGTCAAAATTATTCTTAAAGTCTCTTGGAAATCACATGTTAGAGACCATCACACACTGTTTTAGTGAAACTGATAAACAAACTGGGTTTTCTTTATCATTGGGACATATGTTGTTTCTTACATTAAGGATCAGATAAAATAGCTTGTGTTTAATGACTGTGGTGTACAAATAAGTAAACACTAGAAAAATAGCAATAACAATAGTAAATTCTTCTATAGTACTTGTAAAACAATCTGATGGGCACTGTTCTAAGTGTATGGTATATATTGCTTAATCTTCCCTAAGCCCTGTAAGATAGAAACTACTATTCTCACTGCCATTTTACAGATGGCAAAACTGAAGCCCAGACATTTTAAGTAATTTGCCCAGGGCCACACAGCTAGTGAGCTCTCTGCATCTGACCTCTACTTGAGACTGCTGAATCATAGTCCTTTTCATTGTAGAGAATATGCAGTGTGATAGGACCATAAAACAGAAGAGTCATCTCAGTTGTACTCTAGAGTATTATAAACTCATAAAATAGAATGACAGCCAGAATCCTCGGTATTATTTAAATTCTTTTAAACTTAATCAATGAGTAAGTTAAATAAATGGGTTCCACTGTAGTTAATAATGTCTCTTGTAATTTTTTTCAAATTATTCACCTAAATCATTATTTCCCCTTTAGACAGAGCAAAACTTGAGCCAAGCCTCTTCCTATATTGGCACAATTAATGAACTAGATTATGCTGAAATTAAAATTTTACAGTAACACCTAGTTAAACAACTGAACTGATACAGGAGACTGTACTTTTTTTCTTCTGTGGATTGTAATGAGACATAGTATTGTAAATTATTCACTATTTATTAACCCTCAGGTGTGTCAAGATTTAATTAAATTCAAATTTTTATAGAATACCTATTATTTTTTATAAGTATAATAACCCTTACATTAAATATTATGGTCCTAAGGTAGTCTAAAAGTGACAGCCAGATGGAATAGAACCTTAATCATAGTTATGTCTCTTGTTTAAAATAACAATACATTGGAAAGTACTGATATTCTTGACCCATGTATTAGAAACAATCTATTAATAAATTCAGAGACTGTAAACATGTATTATATGATTATGTTATTGTTAAGTGGTTCTGACTCATGGCAACCTTGTATAGGTTTTCCAAGGAGCAGCTTTAAGTTTGAACTGCCTACCTTGTAGTTCTCAGTTTAGTGCTTATCCTACAGCACCACACCAGGATAGATATCCCAAAAATGCAGAGAACCAGGTACAATTTGGATATTTACAAGTCAGATAATCTGAAAAGACTATTTGGATTCTTTCCCCAAGGCAAGAGAGAACACGAATAAAGATAATTTTTGTTTGAATGCAGTTGATAAACTGATGCTTCACCAGCTGTATCAGAGCGCATTTAGTTAGGTGTTGTGTCTCTGTTAGAGGGACTAGAAAGATCCAGTTGAGATTCTATAAGATCGTAGATTCAGATCGTATTGGGAATAGTCAGATTTACCATATTTGGTTTCTCTGCTAGATTTACAGAATAGAATAATTTTTAGATCTGGAAGGAGAGGTCATCTGTTTCTGTAGTTTCACTTTACAGATAGGAAGTAGGCCAAGGAAAGTTTAGTAGCTTGTCATGGTCCCATAGCTTTGCAGCCACAGAATAGAAAACTCCAGACCAAGTTACCTAATTCTCCATTCAGTACCGCTCTCCCTCTCTCTATACTCTGCTTCTTTGCATTAATTCTGGAGGAATTAGTATATATCTTTGTTAATCTTTTACAGTACCTTCAAATCAATTGTGTTTTATTTTACCCCTTTTCCATCCATGTAATTGAAATGATAAGACAGGTATTACTGCCATTTTATAGACTAGGAAACAGTAACACAAAGGACAATGTAAATAATCTACTTGAAGTTCCTTCTATAATACATAATGGTCATTATGTATTGTACATTTGTCACTAGATAATTTAAGTTTTCCTTTTGCTTTTTAGGTAGGATAGAGGGTCAAAAAATTTAAATTTTCCTAAATGGATGTTTGCTTTTAGAGAGGGTTTTATTGGGAATCTCTTCAAGTGAGTGCAAATGAAGCTCTAGTAATTCTTTTGACATTTTTTCAGAATTGCTTCAGATTGCTGGAATTAGTCCACATGGTAATGCATTAGGGGCATCAATGCAGCAACAGGTAAATCAACAAGTACCTCAGGAAAAACGAGGAGGTGAAGTGTTGGATTCTTCTCATGATGACATAAAACTTGAAAAAAGTAATATTTTGCTGCTTGGACCAACTGGGTCAGGTAAATTAACTTCTTGAAAAAACTTTTTTTTTAGTAGAATGTAAATGACTCTATACCTTGTGTCTTGTGATTGGGGGATTCTGGCTCTTTAGAAGAAAATATGGACAATCTTATGGATATATGAGGGAGCTTCAAAACATTAATGGAAAAATTCTGTTAACGTTTAGTTCCATCTCCAGCTTTTTGAAGCCCCTTGTATTATCAATGTTCCTGCATAAGCTTCAAATGGAATTTGAAGCATTGCTGTTGCTTATCAGACTAATCTTTAAAATATTAACAGAATTTATGAAAATATGTAAACACCAGTATGTCACAATAATAGAGAAAAGATGCAATAGCAATTTTTATATACTGCTGCAAGTCTGTTTTGCATTTTTTGTAGTAAAAATGTGTGCCAACATATTTCTCGTAAACTTTTAGTGATTGTTTGTATTTGTAGGTAAAACTCTGCTGGCGCAAACACTAGCTAAATGTCTGGATGTCCCTTTTGCTATCTGTGACTGTACGACTTTGACTCAGGCTGGCTATGTAGGTGAAGATATTGAATCTGTGATTGCCAAACTGCTCCAAGATGCCAATTATAATGTAGAAAAGGCACAACAAGGTATGTTTTCAGCATAGCTTGTTTGTCCCCAGATACAGTCTGTTGGCAATGTAATTTATTAATAAGAAATATTTATATTGAGATAATACTTTGAGTCAAGGACTAAAATTCTGTAGTTATATAAAAGTACCTCTTAGACATTTTTAACACTCTAAATAAGGGTTACATTTTTTGCCTTATTGTCACTAAGATGACAGCCAGGGTAAAAAGACCAAATGATAATTCCACTGGTTCCTTACTATTGTCACTGTTTTCTCTGCTCTGACTCATTTCCTAGATTGCTGGGGCATGGTGGGGGCAAGGGTAGGCGAGAGCAATATGAGTGTAGAAACAGTTCAGCTTAATGACTACAGGCTGTCATAGCTGCTGCCTCGTCTTTTCACCAGCTCTCATCTGTCCTGTTCACATGAAGAGCTTAACAGCTTTCTACATACATTCCTGTAAGATAAGAATATATGAAAGGCTTCAAAAAGTTCATGGAAAAATGGAATTAAAAGACAGTGGAATTTTTCCACAAACTTTTTGAGCCCCTAAACAGCAACAATATAGGTGAGGAAGAGCAACTTGAAGTTTTGCTAATACCACCATTGCATACACTTCCAGCTTCCACACTATGCCTCAGCTTCCTAGAAGTATGAACCTGGAAATATTGGTAAACTAGGTAACTATTGTCAAATTAGTTATCATTCCCAAATAATACTCTATAAAATATAAAACATTTGCACAAAATAATGAATGGGAGAGATAGTGTGTATTTATAATATCAAATCATTGCATATATTAAGGATGAAGCGTTGAATAACCTTGCTCTCTAGCTACCTAGTCTTTTAAACCTGAGGTTATCTTGTGTATATATTTTTCACATTATAAATAGAATCCTCCTTAAATTATAGGAATTGTCTTTCTGGATGAAGTAGATAAGATTGGCAGTGTGCCAGGCATTCATCAGTTACGGGATGTAGGTGGAGAAGGCGTTCAGCAAGTAAGCAGTTGAATATTTTGTTCAAGCCCACTAAAAGAAAGGGGATACATCATGCTCCCAAATATTGTACGTTTGGTTTCCCATTCAGTTAGATTCTGTTTGGTTTATCCTACCCTGAACTCAATACACCATTTTAATGTAATCCTGATTCTAAGATAAAATTGTTGACTGTTTTAAATATCAAATTACCTTTCTTAGGAAAGTAAAAATAGTTTAATCTTCAAAGGCCCCGTTACATTTCCAGAGGACTCTTGAAAAATGTTCTGGTTCTAAAATTACATGAGTGAATTATATACATGTTTTAATTCCTTCCACTTAATTAAAAGATTAAAAAATAGTGTCTCATTCCTTGGAGAGATATGATTGAAGTCATGGTGATCTACTAGCCAACTTGACCTTTTAATGGAAACCAGTTGTGAGGGTGAGGAAAATTATTTAATGGAAACCAGTTATGAGGGTGAAGAAAATTATTTCAGTTTTCTTGACTGTGAGATGAAGAGTGATATGGTCACACTTATGTATAAATGTGCTGGATAATTTGTTTATAAAGGCATCTAAAAATACAGGCATTCTAAAAGTTTAGTAGTAGGATTAGAATTGAATTTATGTGCAAGACAAATCTTGAACTGTTTTCAAATTTTGAATGTTCCCATCATTGTGGGTACCATTTTATAGAATCATGAAAGAACTGTTTTTTGCTTTTTATCAAGACAAACCTCTCAGGCTTACTGTTTCCTGAATTATAATGCATCAGGAGTCCTATAACCAATGCAAATAAATTTATAGATTCTTGATGTGATAAATAGGGTCCCTGATGATGCAGTGGTTAAAGTGCTTGGCTGCGTACCAAAAGGTCAGCGGTTTGAATCCACTAGCTAATCTGTGGGAGAAAGATGTACACAAGTCTAATTTCTTAAAGATTACAGCCTTGGAATCCCCATAGGGCAGTTCTACGCTCTCTTGCAGTCACTATGAGCCCAAATTGACAGTAACAGGTTTGTTTTTTTTAGTTCATGTGACAAATGCATTATAGCTTCAAGTTAGTTGTGGAAATGTGGGAATTTTCTTTAGTTATGCTTCTTGACCATAGTCATACATTACTTTCCCCATTAAATCCCAGTATTAAAAGTATAATAATTTATGCACTTATATGATGATGTTGTAAATCATTTGTTCTTTATTTAGGGATTATTAAAACTACTTGAAGGTACGATAGTCAATGTTCCAGAAAAGAATTCTCGCAAGCTACGTGGAGAAACAGTACAAGTTGATACAACAAATGTCTTGTTTGTTGCATCTGGTGCTTTCAATGGTTTAGATAGAATTATCAGCAGGAGGAAAAATGAAAAGGTAAGTTTTTCTGAAAGATTATAGTAGGATAGACAACATTTAAATGTACGGAGGTAGTTTCTCTTCTCATGTCTGAATAGCTGCCGGTCGTGGATTTTTAAGAGTTTGCATTTTATTATGGCATACCTGAAATATAAATTTCTAGCATTTTGCTTGGTTGTTTTTTTGTTTTTTTCAGAGTTGGAAATTAGAATGTTTCTAATAAATCTTGTCACTAAGTTCAATTTTATAGTTTATCTAAGGAATTCTTTTTTGAGGTAGCTGCTATATCAGTAAAATGTCTATTCATTCCTGCTGCCTGCTTTACTGGACCCCAAAGAAAGAGGTTGTCTCCATTGTCCCTACTGGTAGAGTCTAGAGTCTACCCTAGATCATTGCTGAAATAAATGGAGACAGTTTAGGGACCAAGAGAAAAGGGGGTCAACCCCCTTGATTTTTACAGGTGTTCCTTAAACATTGATGTTGTTGTGAACTGCCGTTGAGTCAGTTCCAACTCATAGCCACCTTGCATGGGTTTCTGAGGATTGAGTGGCTGGTGAATTTGAACCTCCAACCTTTGTTCAAACAGACCTTGTGATCCAGTGCATCATCTCACAGAACCATACCAATACTGCCAAACATTTTTTAAACCCCAACTTTAACTAGAACTGACTTATCCTGAAGGTCAGTATTTACTTTGGAGTGATTACAGTAAAATATAATGCAAATATAGTAGCAGCAAGCCTAGAACACACTTATTTTTCCTTTTTTTGTGTATTTGGAAAATAACCATACACTAACACTTTTATATATAACATAATATCCTACCTAAGGTGTCATGGTGTGGTACTGTGGGTTAATGCGCTGGACTGCAAAGTTGATTTGAATCTCAAGGTCAAGCTCACCAGCTACTCCTTGGAAATCCTATAAAGGGTCATTATGGGTCAGAACCAAATTGATGGCACTTAACAACAACAGATCCCTACCTAAATGAGTATGTCATAGATTGTTGCTGTTGGATGCCATCAAATCAGTTCTGACTTATAGTGAACTTATTCACAACAAAATGAAGCACTGCCTGGTTCTACACAATCCTCACAATTGTTGTTATGTATGTTGTTATTGTCGCTACCTCTGTGTCCATCTTGTTGAGAGTCTTACCTCTTTTTTGCTGACCCTCCACTTGTCCAAGCATGATGTCCTTTTTCAGGGACTGGTCCTTCCTGATAATGTGTCCAAAGTATGAAGATGAAGTCTTGCCATCCTTGCTTCTAAGGAGCATTCTTGCTGTACTTTTTCCAGTACATAGTACTTTTAAATTCTTCACCAACACCATAATTCAAATGCATTGGTTCTTTTGTGATCTTCCTTATTCATTGTCCAACTTTCACATGCATATGAGGCTGCTGAAAATACCACGGCTTGGATCCAGGCACACCTTAGTCCTCAAAGTGACTTTGCTCTCAAATACTTTAAAGAGGTCTTGTGCAGCAGATTTGACTAATACAATATGTCCTTTGATTTCATGGCTGCTGCTTCCATGAGCTTTGTGGATTCAGGCAAATTGTGAAGTGTTTGACAATATCACTCTTTTCTTCATTTATCACAATGTTGTTTATTGCCCAATTTTGAGGATTTTTTTTTTTTTTTTTTCTTTACATTGAGGTACAATCCATGCTACAGGTTGTGGTCTTTGATCTTCATCAATATTTCAAGTCCTCTTTTCTTCCAGCAAGCAAAGTTGTATCATCTGCATATCCCAGGTTGTTAATGGGTCTTCCTCCAATCCTGATACCAAGTTCTTCATATAACCCAGTTTCTAGGATTAATTGCTCAACATATAGATTGAATAGTATGGTGAAATGATACAATCCAGACACACACCTTTCCTGATTTTAAACCATTCATTATTCCCATGTTCTGTTCAAATGACTGCCTCTTGGCCTATATGTACAGGTTCCTCACAAGGACAATGAAGTGTTTTTGGAGTTCCCATTCTTTGCAGTGTTGTCCATAGTTTGTCATGATCCACACATTCGAATGCCTTTGAATAGTCTGCAAAGCACATGTAAACCTTTCTGGTATATTCTCTGCTTTCATCCAAGATCCTTCTAACGTCAGCAATGATATCCGTCATTCCACGTCCTCTTCTGAATCTACCTTGAATTTCTGGTGACTCTGTCATTGTACTGCTACAACCATTTTTTAATTATCTTCAAAATTTTACTTAAATGTAATATTAATGATATTGTGTGATGATGTCCTCATTCCATTGGATCACTTCTCTTTGAAATGAGCACAAATATGAATCTCTTTCAGTGGGTTGACCAGGTAACTGTCTTCCAAAGTTCTTAGCGTAGATGAGTGGGTTCTTCCAGTGCTGCATCACTTTGTTTGAAGATTTCAATTTGTATTCTGTGAATTCCTGGAGCATTGTTTTTTGCTAGCGCTTTCAGTGCAACATGGACTTTTTCCTCAGTACCATTGGTTCTTGATTATATATGCTCACTCTTAAAATGGTTGAGCATCAACCATTTCTTTTTGTTACAGTGACTTTGTGTATTCCTTCTATTTTCTTTGGATGCTTCCTGCATCATTCGTTTTTTCCCCATAGATCCTTCAGTATTGCAACCTGAGGCTTGAATTTTTTCTTCAGTTATTTCAGCTTGAGAAATGCTGAGCGAGTCCTTCCGTTTTGCCATTCTAACTCTAGGTCTTTGCACATTTCATTGTATTACTTTATTTAGTCTTTTCTAGCTGTCCTTTGAAGTCTTCTGTTCAACTCTCTTTATTCATTATTTCTTTTTGCTTTAGCTTTTCTCCATTAGACATCAAATTTCAAGAGTTTCTTTTGGCAACCATTTTGATGGGTTTTTTTCCCCTTTTTCTGTCGCTTTAGTCATCTTATAGAGATTAAAAACATTCATGTTGCTGTTTTTATCAACCATTATTGAAAGCCAGAGGTATAATATACCTGTATTCCAATCATGTGAAACTGCTAGTAGTCCTGAGTTTTCTTCTTCCTGCCTTTGCTCATGTTGTTCTGTACCTCAATCCAGGTGGCAAATAACCTGTCCATCTTTTAAGACTCAGCCTGTTAGTCATTAGTCATCTCCTCAAAAACTTTCTTGGTCACTTTTCTATTCTCCATCCCTAATAGGGGAACCTTTCCTTCCTTTCTACTTCCTCAGTGCCCTATGCAGTCATCTGTCATTGCAGATATAATACTTTAATGCCCTCATGTTTTCTCCCTCTCAGTAAATTCTTTTACAAGGACTTTAGCAGGCTTGTTAACACAGTGCCTGTCACAATTAAATGTTTAAAATTAATGGGCTTAAGGTATTTTGTTTTTCTAGTACACTAATACGCAGGTACACAGCTTAGGATTAGTGGAATAGGCATTTAAGTGATCTTAGATATCTTGTCATCTTTCGTAAAATTTTGACATGTCATATAAAATCTGTATGACATCAGAATTAAAGTTACTGACAATTGCTTTTATAGTTCTTTTATGTTAACTGAAGCAAGAGTCATATACCGTAGTTACGCAACCTTGTGCAGCAAAGTTAATATTCTTGTATGATGTCAACCTTATGTGTCCTGTCTAAATTATTCTAACATAGATTTATGTGTTGTTGTTAAGTGTTGTCGAATCAGTTCCAACTCATAGCAACCCTGTATAAGGTTTCAAGAAGCAGCTGGTGAGCTTGAACCACTGACCTTATGGTTCAAACCAACCTTGAAGTCCAGCACATTAACCTGCAGTGCAACCTCAAACCATAATTTCAGTAGAATGTTTAGTAGTGACTTGAGACTCTTGTGGATAATTTTCCATAGGTACTATTTCAATATATGGTATTATAAAATTGACTTGTTAATGCCACTGAGTCAGTTCTGATTCATAGCAACCTTGTACAGGGTTTTCAAGGCTTTTTAAATCTCTGTGGTATCAGAAAGCCTCATATTTCTCCTGTGGAGTGGCTGGTGGGCTCAAACTGCCCACTTTGTGGTTCACAGTCTTGTGCTTTATCCTATGGAGCCACCATGCTCCTCTAATTAACATAAACTACAAAAAATTGCTATCTCCATTTTTACTGTTCTTAAACCTTTTATCCACCATTGGTCTGTTGGTTTCTTGTACTCTCATGTCTTGTGTGTTGCTGTGGTACTGGAAGTTATGTCACCAGTATTTAAATCCCAGCAGGGTCACCCACAGAGGACAGCTTTCAGCTGAGCTTCCAGACTAAGACAGGCTAGGAAGAAGGAGGACAGACTACTTCTGAAAATTTAGTCACTGAAAACCTTACGATAGTAGTGTAGCCTTGTCAGATAATAGTGTCAAAAGGTGAGCCCCTCAGATTGGAAGGCACTCAAAATCCAACTGGGGAAGAGCTGCCTCTTCAAAGTAAACCTTGATGATACAAATGAAGTAGAGCTTTCAGGACTTTCATTTGATGATGGGGCGGTGGGGGAACAACTCAAAATGAGGAGAAACAACTACAAACATCTATTAATAATCGGAATATGAAATGTACAAAGTATGAATCTAGGAAAATTGTAAGTTGTCAAAAATGAAATAGAACACACAAAAATCGGTATCTTAGGCACTAATGAGCTACAATGGACAGATATTGGCCATTTTGAATCTGATAATCATGATTTACTGTGCTAGGAACAACAAATTCAGGAGGAGTGACTTAGTATTCATCATCAAGAAGAACATTTCAAGATCTATCTTGAAGTAGAATGCTGTCTGTGATATAATAATTTCATTATGCCTAACAACAACAAACAAGGAAGATAGTTAATACCACTGTTATTCACATTTATACACCAACCACTAAAGCTAGTGATAATAAAATTGAATAATTCTATCAACTTCTTCAGTCTGAAACTGATCAAACATGCAATCAAGATGTATTGATAATTACTGATGATTGGAATGCAAAAGTTGGGAACAGAGAAGGCTTAATAGTTGGAAAATATGGATAGAAATGATGCTGGAGATCACAGATAGAATTTTTCAAGACCAATGACTTACTCACTGAAAATACCATTTTTAAACATCATAAAAGATGACTAATACACATGGACCCAGCCAGATGGAATACACAGGAACCAAATTGACTACATCTGTGGGTAGAGGGTAGACATGTGCTCAATGTCATCATCCAAAACAAGGCCAGGGTCTGACTGTAGAACAGACCATCAGTTAGTTGCTCATATGCAAGGTCAGGCTGAAACTGAAGAAAATTAAAACAAGTCCACTAGAGTCAAAACATGATCTTGAACATATCCTACCTGAATTTAATGATCATTTCTAGAACAGATTTGATGCATTAGACACCAATCACTGAAGACCAGAAGAGCTGTGGGATGACATCAAGAACATTGTACAGGGAAATGGCAAAAGGTCATTAAAAAGACAGGAAAGAAAGACAAAAATGTATGCCAGAAGAGACTCTGAAGCTTGCTATCTATCCAGTATGATGATGCTAAAGGAAATGGAAGAAATGAAGTCCAAGAGCTGAACAGAAATTTTCAAAGGGCAGCTTGAGAAGACAAAGTCAAATATCATAATGAAATGTGCAGAGACCTAAAGTTAGAAAATCAAAAGGGAAGCACATGCTCGGAATTTCTCAGACTGAAAGAACTGAAGAAAAAATCAAGCTTCAATTTGCAATATTGAAGAATTCCATGTGTAAAAAATTGAATGATACAGAAAGCATCAAAAGAAGATAGAAGGAATATTCAGAATCACTGTACCAAAATAAATGGTCAGTGTTCAACCCTTTCAGGAGGTAGCATATGATCAAGAACCAATGGTACTGAAGAAAGAAGTCCAAGCTGCACAGAAGCTATTGGTGAAAAACAAGGCTTTAGAAATTGACAGAATACAAATTGAAATCTTTGAACAAACTGATGTAGCACTGGAGGTGCTCACTCATCTATGCCAAGAAATTTGGAAGACCACTGATTGGAAGACATCCATATTTGTGCCCATTTCAAAGAGAGGTGACCCAATTGAATGTGGAAATAATTGAACAATATCATTAATGTAACATGCAAGTAAAATTTTGCTGAAGATATTTAAAAATGGCTCCAATTATACATTGACAGGGAACTGCCAAAACTCAAACTGGATGTGGAACGAGAGAGATGTCATGGCTGACATCAGATGTATCTTGGCTGAAAGCACAGAATACCAGAAAGATGTTTACTTGCGCTTTATTGAATATGCAAAGGCTTTTGACTGTGTGGATCTATGCAAGCTATGGATAATATTGCGAAGAATGGGTATTCTAGAACATTTAAGTGTGCTCATTAGGAACCTGTACATAAACCACCCCCCAAAAAATGTTCACGAGCAAAGATGTCAGTTTGAAGACTAAGGTTTGCTTGACTAAAGCCACAATATTTTCAATACCCTCAAATGTATGTAAAAGTTGGATAACAAATAAGGATGACCATAAAAGATTTGATTTCTTTTGATTTCTGGAGAATATTCAAAATACCATGGACTGTCATAAGAACAAATAAATAAATATGTGTTGAAAGAACTACAGCCAGAATGTTCCTTAGAAGCAAGAATGGTGAGATTCAGAATGAACCCAGCCCTGGAAAAGGATATCACGTTTGGTTAAGTGGAAGGTCAGCAAAAAAGAGGAAGACCCCAAATGAGATGGATTGGCACAGTGGCGGCAGCAGTAAGTGTAAGGGTAACAATAATTGGGAGGATGGTGCAGGACTGTTTCGTTCTTTTGTTCATAGAGTCGCTATGCATCAGAAGCAACTGTAGAGCAGCTAACAACGCCATCTTTTGGAAACCATACGAGTCTTGATGGACTGGACAAACCATGTAACTTTATAATCTGAGTTTAAGGGACTTCCCTTTATAGTTTTTATGTAATCTGCTTTTACTAGGATTCATTCTTAGAGAGTTCGTTATTAATAGCAATTAGGTTCTCAGTTCTGAAGGCAGACAGACTTGAGTGTGAATCTTGGCCTTGCTACTTACAGCCACCAGATCTTGGTCGAGATTCTGAACTTCTCTGATCTTATTTTCATCATTGGTAAAATGTGAGTGAGAATAAAACCTATTTCACTGAGTAGTTGCAAAGGTCATATGAGATATGCATATAAAGTACTCGGTACAGTACCTGGCATATACTTTTTGTTGTTGAGTGCTGTCAAGTCGGTTCCAACTCACAGTGACCCTGTGTAGTGTCTCTAAGGAGCAGCTAGTGGGTGCCTGATAAAGTCTGCAATAATGTTTATTTATAGTAACTTAAAACTTTAGAATAATTAAGATTCTAGTTAGAAAGTACTACATCTTTTGTAGTACTGATCAGTCAAGATATTTTTCTTTGTGGCCCTTTTATTCTGTAATTCACAGATTACAATTCTAGAATGCATTTTCAATATTCTCATAAGGTTGTAGTGGCTGTTGTTAAGTTGGTTCTGACTCATAGTGACCTGTGTAAGGTTTCCAAGGAGCGACTGGTAGGTTTGAACCAATGACTTTGTGGTCAGCAGCCCAGCGCATATCTTAGCACACCAGGACTTCATTGGCATAAGGTAGAAAACTCACATGACATGTTTGTAACAGTTTGAGATAACGATTGACCTTTTAAAATATTCTTTTATAGTGTTATATCTTGACTAATGACCTATAGATTGGGTGTGGTTTTTTTTAAGTTTTTATTGTGAATTTATAGATTGGGTTTTAAAAGTACATTTTTATTTCTGTAGCTTACAGAAATGCATGTGTGGCCAGGGCTTTTTCCTCAAAAGTATTTTGGTAATAAGGTGAAAACGCTTTAGGATTATATGAATATTTCATGGCATGTGTAAATATATTCATATTCCAAAGTGTAAGTAGTAGAATACAGATTCAAATTGTTGTTTAGTTAATCAAAACAAAAAAACAGTAACAACATAGAAATGAGACTTTGTCTTCTTCATCCTTCATTATTAAGCTATTTTCATTAGTTCAGTTTATGAATTAAATGTTCTTCTGTCTTTTGTCCTTTAAACACTTTCCTTGTCTTACGAAGAAGCCTTATTAGTATATATTTTGTTTCTAAACTACAATTCCTTTTGTCTTTTGAATTGCTAATTACTGTTCTTCTTTGCATGAGCCAACAGTTGGAAATGACTTTTCTAGTATGTTTCTTCAGCTGAGAGTTAATGTAATTAATTTATATAAAGTAGGATCATCCTGTTTGTAGTCATCATTCAACCTACTATGTAATTTTCTTTTTTTTTTTTTTAATCTCTAAAGTTACTTAGCAACAAAAATTTTTTTCTGACCTCATTACAGAGCATCTAAAACTGTATCTTATCTAAATATGCTTTACTACAGAATTTATGTTTTGTTTGTATGTTATGTGCATTTTATACCGTATTTGAATACTTACTTGACCTGCAACTTCATTATAATATGAATGTTTCTTTGACAGTATCTTGGATTTGGAACACCATCTAATTTAGGAAAAGGCAGAAGGGCTGCAGCTGCTGCAGATCTTGCCAATCGAAGTGGGGAATCAAATACTCACCAAGACATTGAAGAAAAAGATCGATTGTTACGTCATGTGGAAGCCAGAGATCTCATTGAATTTGGCATGATTCCTGAGTTTGTGGGACGGTTACCTGTGGTAGTTCCTTTGCATAGCTTAGATGAGAAAACACTTGTACAAATACTAACTGAGCCACGTAATGCTGTCATTCCTCAATACCAGGCCTTATTCAGCATGGATAAGGTTAGACTTTATATTTGTCATACTTTATTAATATATGTTTTTCGTGCTATTTGAATTTTGCGTAACTTGTTTTTAAGTACCGTGGAGTCAGTTCCAACTCATAGTGTCCCTGCACAGGGTTTCTGAGGCTGTAAATCTTTACAGGAGCAGAAAGCCTCATATTTCCCTTACAGTACGGCTGGTAGTTTCAAACTGCCGACCTTGAGGTTATCATCCCAATTCGTAACCATGACACTCCCAGAGCTCCTTTTGCATAACTTAGCCTAATATAAAAAGAAAAAAAAAAAAAAATCTTGTTCATCTGGAATAATTACCATATTAAATTACTGTTGAGTTGGTTCCGACTCATAATGGACCCTGTATAGGGTTTCTAAAGCTGTAAATCTTTGTGGGGGCAGAAAGCCTCATCTTTCTGCCATGGAGCTGCTGGTGTGCTCAAATTGCTGACCATGCGGTTCGCAGTACAGTGCTTATTCTATAGAGCCTCCACTCTCCCTGAAATACCAGCCTGCTCCTCATTCAGTTATAGACATTAAACATTTTGGAGTTGCCGTCATTTCTAAGTCCAAAGATATACTGTTGTTGTTGTTAAGTGCCGTTGAGTTGGTTCCGACTCATAGTGACCCTGCACAGCATTTCTGAGGCTGTAAATCTTTATGGGAGCAGAAAGCCTCATCATTTTCCCGCAGAACCCCTGGTAGTTTCGAACCGCTACACTACCAGAGAGATTTGTAACCACTACACTACCAGAGAGATATATTGTTGTTGTTAAGTGCTGTCGAGTCGGTTCCGACCCATAGCGACCCTGTACAGGGTTTCCGCGGGTGTAAATCTTTACGGGAGTAGAAAGCCTCATCTTTCTCCCGCGGAGCGGCTGGTAGTTTCGAACCGCTGACCTTAAGGTTCGCAGCCCGATTCGTAACCACTACGCTACCAGAGCTCCCTAGAGAGATATATTGTTGTTGTTGTTATGTGCCATCGAGTCTGTTCTCACCCATAGCGACCCTGTATAGGGTTTCCGAGGGTGTAAATCTTTATGGGAGTAGAAAGCCTCATCTTTCTCCCGTGGAGCAGCTGGTAGTTTCAAACCACTGACCTTAAGGTTCGCAGCCCGATTCGTAACCACTACGCTACCAGTGCTGCCTTAGAGAGATATATTAGAGGGCTTAAAAAAACTTGTGTAAAATTCTGTTGTCTTTCAATTCCATTTTACCACAAACTTTTTGGAAGTCCCCTCAGGTGTGTGTGTAAAGAGAGCAAAAGACATAAATGATGCCAGAGAAGGGGGAAAAAAAATAACCCCTTCAAGACAGACACTAGGATTGTCTTAAAAGCTTATGTTGTGACATGCTGAATGTTATACATTCATCTAAGTAAAGTTTTATTAGCTTTTACATCTACTTCTCTGCACCCAGACACCTGCAAATCACTCTAGCCCACACATTTATTGATCAGATAGCAAATGTTTTAGGTTTGATGAACTGATCTCTAAGTATCAGTCATCTTCTCTCTATTGCTTCTGCCATTGCCTCAAGTCAGTCCTTTACATTGACCTGTGCATTTGATTCCTAATTGGTCTCCCTGTCTCAGATCTACTTCTGACCACCACCGACAAAACATCAGTCTTCCACTTTATTTCCAATATGGATCATTTAAACATCACTGGGCATTATGCCCTGAAAATAAATGCTAATTTCTTAATAAATATGTGCTGAATGAAAAACAAAAAGGTAGTTCTAATTAATATTCCTTTGCTTAAAATCCTTCAGTGATCCCTAGTCTTACTAGTCTTACTTAGATGCCTCTACTTGGTACTCCCTAGCACCATGTGCAGACACTGTGCTGTAAATACTAGTTTGTTAACTTGAAGGCAAAGATGGTACTTAATTCATCATCCAGCCCCAAATATATGTGCACATTGTTGTGTCAAGTGCCGTCAAGTCGATTCCAATTCATAGAGACCTGGCATAGGGTTTCCAAGGAGCAACTGGTGAGTTTGACCCGCTGACTTTGCTGTTCAAACCGACCTTGCAGTCCAGCACATTATCCTGCAGTGTCAGTCCAGGACTCCATAGCACATTTTGTTATTAAGTGCTGTCAAGTCGGTTTCGATCCATAGTGATCCTATATGGGGTTTCTGAGGAGCAGCTGGTGAGCTTGAACTGCCAACCTTGCTTTGCATTCCGGCGCATTAACCCACAGTGCCACACCAGGACTCCCCCATAAGCACATTAGTGTCTCAATAAATGTTGAATCAAATCCTGGAAAATCATTGTTAATACGGAAATCTCTTCAAGAGCTAAGAACAAATTTATGATTCATAATGCTGATACCTTCATAGATTGATAGATACAAAGTACTTCCTAAAAACAAAGCTATAAAATACCAAGAGAGTTAATTACTTTGTTTAAATTTTACATTTTCTGGGGGCAGAAGTTTATAACAAAAGTTACTCGTAACAGGGTATTGTGAACTGTGGTGTTCCAAAGCATTTTGATATGTATGTATTTAATCTCAATAATTTGAAGTCTACTGTTTTTAAAGATTTGTGATTAGTTTAGAGAGATTGTTTAAAGTTTTACTTTTTTTTCTTTTGTAAGTCTCTGAAGTATAGTTATAGAGACCCAATGACGGTTTTCAAGGAGGGAATTAAAAATGCCTGAGTGATCCTCTAGTCTTAATAGAGGTAGGGTCAGCCAAGACATAGATTCTGCTCCTACCTGTGTGTCTTGAGTGTCAGTTTACTTCACTATCTGTCGGTAAATAAGCTCCTTATTTCTTTATCTCTACAATCAGGCCATTGGTCTCTTTCAGTTTTCTGTGACTGTAGGGACTAGTAATGGTGGTAGTCGTGGTAGTGGGTTGTGTGTTGTTGAGTCAGTTCTGGCTCATGGCAGCCCTGTATAGGGTATCCACAGCTGTCCATCTTTACAGGAGCAGAAAGTATCATCTTTCTCCCACAGAAAGGCTGGTAGATTTGTAACTGCTGATCTTGCAATTAGCAACCCAATGCGTAATCACTACACTACCAGGGCACCTAGTAATGGTGGGTATATAGTATTAATAATAAAATACCATATGGTTTTATTAGGAAAATATCAAAGATTAAGTTTTTATTCCTTTTGATTATATTTATAGTGTGAACTGAATGTTACTGAGGATGCTTTGAAAGCTATAGCCAGATTGGCACTAGAACGAAAAACTGGTGCACGAGGTCTTCGTTCCATTATGGTAAGTAGGCATTATTATACAAAAACTTGATTATTTCTTGGCCTAAATTTTAAGACTCTTAAGATTCTGTTTCTCTTTTTATATATAAACAGAAAAATTTTTTGGTTTGGTTGGTTTTGGCTTTGTCATAGTATATTTGTGCTTCTTTCTATAAAAGAAACAAAACTCTAAAATGTTTGCTACTAAAGAATACACACATAATACAAAGAGTGAAATAAGATCAGAATTATAGGAAAATGAACTGTAGGAAATTCTGCATGAGATTTTGACTAAGCTGCAGAGCCCCTTCTCAGACTCTTTGAGAGCCCCCATTTTTTTAGTTTGCCTGAAAGTAAGTTGCAGATACTCTGATGCTTTACTCCTGAATTCTTCAGTATGGTAAAACTCAGTGTTCTTAAGTTTTGTTATAGATCCTAGGGACCCCACCAATATTCTTGCTACTACTTACTGTCTCCCTTATTTTCCATACCCCCAGAATTGGCTGTACAGTGGGTTGATTATTGTTTGCCCACCAGCTCCCAAAGCAAGCGTGTGTTTCCTATTCCCTTTGAAGGATTTCACTGTTAAGTAACACTTTGTTAAGTAAGACTTTTGGTTATAACTACATATCCATCACAGACAGTTTAAGATTATAGTCACTGATGAACTTCAGTGTTACTGGTTAAGGGCAAATGTATAAACATTCAAACAAGAAGAGCAGGTAATACAGTTGATATTTTTAGGAAACTTGAGGTACTCACCCCGTATTTTCCACTGGGTAGAATATAATCCAGCCAATATCTGTAGACAAAGCTAGTGTTCTTTAGTGAACAACTTTAGATCTACTGCAGCACCTGAGACAGATGCTCATTTGAAGTCTTTGAAATTGAAGAGCTTGGCAGAACTGAATTAGAAGTAAACAGTTTCAGAATAAGATTACAAATTGACCTCCTCTGTTAGAGAATAAGCCAGGTAATGCTTCTGACAAACATCTGTATCTAAAAGACTAGCCTTTTGTTGTGTGCATGTTGACCAAACTGGACTGAACCGAACACACATTGATTTCCCTTTAAAAATGACTTGTCTTTCAATTTAGTCCCAAGCTGTTTTAATATGAAGAATATGAAAACTTTTACATTGACTTTTTCAGCATTTAGTTTCTGGTGTATAATAGAGTCTATGTACTTTTTGTTGAGTGAATTGATTCATTTGGTCACCTTTATAAATATTTTTTGTATAACTCTAGTTTTCCATATAATTTATTACTTAATATCTCTTTAGGAAAAGCTGTTACTAGAACCGATGTTTGAAGTCCCTAATTCTGACATTGTATGTGTGGAGGTTGACAAAGAAGTAGTAGAAGGAAAAAAGGACCCAGGATATATCCGGTAAAGTATATTGTCAAGCCAGAATAGATCTGAAATTTAAGATCAACTCCTTATTACTATAGTTTATTGGTCTGTTATAAAAATTATATTAAAATCTTTTGTATTTATAAGGGAAGCAATAATCTCAAATTTTTCATTGGTCTTGAACAACATTACTTAACTTCAAAGAGATATAATCATTAGTGCCATAGATGTATAACTTTAACAGTAATTGTGCTAGTCTGAATCATAATTTTGACCAATTTTAATCCAGTTGGATTTGGTCTGAAGAAATCGGGTTCTCACATAGACATAAACTAAATTCCAAGCAGTGGAATTGAAATAACTGATTTTACTTTAACTCCTGAATAAATGGATTTTTAAGCTTTCACATTTGAAGCCTCAGCTAACCAATTCTGATTTTGTGGCTTTTCTAGCTAGGTGGAGAAATTTGCAATTTTAAGTCTAGAAATCTTGCTTATTCTCAATTTTTCAAAAATTGTCTTTTTGGTGGAAACACAGCAACCCCAGTTCCCCCCCCACCATTTGTAGACATGATGATCAGTGACATTGGTTATACTGTTCATGAGTCAGCATTCTCGGAATTTCTGTTCTAGCTGTTTGACTTCCATTTATTCCTGCCCACAACTTCCTCATCTAGACTTCAAAATAGTTGTTGACCATTTAGTCTTATATAGATACATATTTTTTATCCTCAATTTGTATTTAAAGTAAACACTGATGTTTTTTTATTGTAGGGCTCCAACAAAAGAATCTGAAGAGGAGTATGATTCTGGAGTTGAAGAGGAAGGATGGCCTCGCCAAGCAGATGCTGCAAACAGTTAAATTATCAGACTCCTGTCCTGTATATAACGTTTTTCCTTCTTTTGTTTAGGATCACAAGTTATACAGTCTGACATTAAAGGAATTGGATCTATCTTGGATATCATACATGGTCAGAAGCCTTTAGGATAAGAATCAGATCATGTACTATATTGTAACATCACATTGATTTATACACAGAGGACATTATGTGGACTTCAATGATATAATGTGCAGAGTTAAAAATGTACATTATTTTGGTTCAGTTTTAAACAAATACACTTTAACAAAATTCTTAGGAGTTCTTTTAAGCAACACAGGTGTTGCAATAACTGTGGATTTTACAATAATGTTACTCTACAAATGGGAAAATAAATTCTTTAAAATTGAAGATTGAGGTACCATTCTTTAGTTTAACCTTTTTCCTCCCACATTTTTGACTTGAAAGCACAAGAATTCTATTCATTTAAAAAATTGGTACAGGTAGTTTACAAGTAGTTAAAATTTCATGGAAAATGAGCCCTGAAAACCATATTTTGATAATTTATGTTTAGTTTTATCTGCTAGTGCATGACACTAATTTCCCAGTTAGAACTACAAAAAAGCTTCTTTGCTGCCTTGTCTGATTTATTTGTCACCTTTGATCTATTTTATTTTAGTACCATGAGTTGAGTGAATAGAATTGAAAGAAGTCTGGCTTAAATCTTTAATAAAAAAAACTATACACCTAGTTTTATAAATAGCATGCAATTTCAGTCATAGAAACAGATACGTGCTAAGCTAAATGAAATACCCTAATGTTATGTATTACCTAAAACACTGAGCTAGTATGTATCTGGTTTTTTGTTTTTTTGGTCCTAGATATTTGACTTAATTTTTTGGCTTTATAGAACATTAAAGAAAATCTATATTTTGCTATAAACAAAAGTGAATACGTTCACATTAAAATATGTTATATAACAAAACTAGAAAATGGGTGATTTGGAGATTTAAAGAAAATCTATGTTTTGGTATGTTCACACTAAAATATGTTATATATAGTAAAACTAAATAATAGGGGTGATTTGGGGATTTTAAAATAAAAATTTTATCATTTGATTTCATAAATACTTAAAACGTTTGGGTACCTTAAATTTTTCTTTCTTTAATGTTGATACAACAACCATATTTCTATAGTATTAATTCAGTTCAACATCATTTGAAATTATTTAAATCCAAATACATTTAAATATTTTTGACATGTTTTAGTTTATAGACTCTTGATCTTCCTTACCCCCTTTTTATTAGGAAAAGAACCTTTAGGCTATTAGCAATTTCTAATCCTGTCGATGAAGAGTTGGTCTTTCTATGATGTAATAAAAGGGATATGAGACATCTTTTTATGACTGGGATAAGACCAAAAATGCACTTTGGCAATTAATTAAGCCTGGTTACTGTAGTATGAAATAGAAACAAATACTCTTCATTGTTGTTGTTGTTGTCAAGTGCCATCGATCAATTCCAACTTACAGTGGCCCTACATAAGGTTTCTGTGGAGGGCTGATGAGTTTGAACTGCCGACCTTGTAGTTCAAACTGACCTGGCGGTCCAGTGCTTTATCCCACATCAAACTCCATTGCCATCAAGTCTAATTCTGTCTCTTGTAGGACAGAGTAGAACTGCTCCATAGGGTTTCCAAGACTTTAAATCTTTATGGAAGCAGGCTGCCACATCTTTATCCCTCAGAGTGGATCGTGGGTTTGGCCAACCCTTCAGAAGCAGCCAAGCTCTTAAGAGCTGTACCACCAGGGCTACTTTTGGTCTCCCTAGTAATGGTTAATGATCTTTTCAAGAAGTCTTTGAGGTTACAACTTTGCGCCGTATCTTTCTCTTATAGCATTGTCATTTTCCTTTTTGTAGAGTGAAAATTGGAGTAGCTCCTAATATATTAAGGGTAATCTTCCAAAGATGGACTGGGAGATATTTTAGTCACAACTTATTTGGAAGTTGTTAACAAAGCAAAATCTATGTTTTTAAATCAAAAACAATTGAATATAACTACAGTTTGTATCAGGAGACTTATGTTTTGGCATTTGAATAAAACAGAAGGACTACATGAAAGCCAGTGTGGTGGTATGTCCATAATGCAGGTACACTCTGCCAGCAGTGCCGTTTTCACAGGGCACAGATGTCATGAACTGCTGTATTTCAGGGAGTGGTTAATCCTTGGCACTTTCATGTCCATCCAGTAAGCTCTCCTAGTCTGTAGATATAAACAAAAGTATTATAAAAGCTTATGCATTGAAAATCCTTATTGAAATGTTCCATATAACCCAGTATTAGAGACACAGATGAAGCTTTTCAAAAACATTAACAGTCCAGCAGGGGAGGCAAATACAAACTTCAGTGCATTATGATAATGGAGACCAGGCATGGAACCATGTGTGGTGGCCCAGGTGGGTCTGGAAGAACAAGTAGAAATTTTTCAGAAGAGAATAAAGAGAAGGAAGTAAAAAATCTCAGAAGTGGAACACCTAGGGAGGCTTAGGAATTGAGAAAGAGGCAACAACTGTGATGTCCTGGTACTATTATGAAATAACCATTTAATGCAAGATGGCTTTGAAAAGTCTTCACCCTGCTGAAGACCTTATCTCATGTTTAAGAAATCATTAGCTGAAATTCATCTTCCCATCATCAGATAATAAATCGACTGCATCCACCCTCTTACCAAAATTGATTCCCTGGCTTGCATCATCTCCTCTCATTTCTCAAGACCTTTACTCTTTGTACTGCATTATCAGTCTTCTTCCTTCTGAATCTTTCCCAAGCAGCATCTAAATGTTGTCTATTTTCTGTCCTTGAGCAAACCTCCCAAGCTTATTCATTTGTTTGTCTTTGCAACTACACCATACCGTCACTAGGGGAAGACCATAACTATTTTTTTTCATTCATAACTAGGTGTTAAGTGCTGTCCAGTCAGTTCCAACTCAATAGTGGCCATTGGTAGGGTTTCCGAGGAGTGCCTGGTGAGTTTGAACCACTGACCTTGAGGTTCAAATCAACCTGCGGCCCAGAGCTTATCCTACAGTGCCTCATAATCATCCATATCTTTGGTGCTTCACAATTTTTATTTTTTTAGTTGTGAAAATAAATACAAAATGTTTCCATTTTAATTATTTTCAAGTATACTATCCAGTGGCATTCATCACACTTGCAATGTTAATCACTATTTCCTCTAAAGTTTTTTCATCATCCAAACTACCAAAACTTAAGCAGTAACTCTGTTCCCTCCCATGGTAATCACTGATCTTTTTGTCTCTGTACTTGCCTATTCTAGATGAATATTGTATGACCCTAGTCATATAAATAGGGTCATGCAATGTTTGTCCTTTTGTGACTGGTTTCACTTAGCATAACGGTCTCAGAGTTCACCATGTCACAGCATGTATTAGAACTTCATTGCTTTCTATGGCAGAATAATAGTACATTGTATGTATTGTGTGCTGCTGAGTCAGTTCAGACTCACAGTGGCCCTACAGTACAGAGTAGAACTGCTCCAAAGGGTTTCCAAGGCTGTAAATCTTTCCAGAAGCAGACTACCTCATCTTGGAGTGACTGGTGGGTTCGAACCCCTGACCAGCTGGACTCTTTTAACTATTACACCACCAGAACCTCTTTCTATTGTACATATGAGGGGCTTCAAAACTTCATGGCCACTGGTATATAAGTATATTTAAATCCCTGCTTTCAATTATTTTGGATATATACTTTGGAGTAGAATCACTAACCCATATAGTAAATCTGGAGTCCTGGTGCAGCACAGGAGGGGGTAAGCACTGAACTGCTAGCCACAGGATCAGCAGTTCAAACTAACCAATTGCTCCTTGGAAACACCATACAGGGTCACTGTGAGTTGGAACTGACTTGATGGCACTTAACAACAACATAGTAGTTAATTTTCTGAGGAACCAGCAAACTCTTTTCTGCACCATTTTTCACAATAGTCATCCTAGTGGGAGTGAAGTGGTATCTCATCATGGTTTTGGTTTACACTTCTCCGATGGCTACCTCAGAGTTGTTGCATTAAATGAATATATAACAGACTGACACTATATGATTATATGAGTAGCGCTATATGATTGTCCATGATGATTTTGCTTGGTTATCCTACAAAGTGTGGCTTAATCGAGGTTCTTTTTTGGGAGTGGAGGTGGCACATGGATCTCTAATTGCACCAGCATCATATGATTAGATTGTTGTCAAGTGCCCTGTACAGGGTTTGCAAGAAGTGGCTGGTGAGCTTGAACTGCCGACCTTGCGACTCAAACCGACTTTTTAGTCCAGTGTATTAACATACAGCACCACACTTTGAGCAATGTAACTGGATGGTGGACATGTGGTTTCATTTTTCCATCAAATTTTAAGCACTTTCTATGTCGGTGTGTGCTGTGAGATAAAGCACTAGATCTCAAGATACGTTTGAACCACAGGGTTGACAGTTTAAATCCACTAGCTGCTCCTTGGAACCCCTATACAGGGTCACTATGAGTCAGAACCAACTCGACAGTACTTAACAACATTGGATTCCTGGTATGGTGCTGTGGGATCAGCACTGGACTGCAAACTGCAAGATCAGCAGTACGAACCCACCAGCTGCTCCTTGGAAACCCTATATAGGCTTGCTATGAGTCAGAACCAGCTCAAAAGCACTAACAACAGGAACATCTTGTTTGTGCAGTGTTTAAGGGCTTGGCTACTAACCAAAAGGTCAGTGGTTCACAAACTCACCAACTTCTCTGTGGGAAAAAGCGCTTGGAAACCTGTGTGGCAGTTGTACTCTGTCCTCCATGGTTGATGAGTAGGAATTGACCATGGCAATGGGTTTTTGGTTATGCCTTGACCTAAATTTCACATCTTACACAAGAATTTGCACAAAATGGATCACAGGCTTAATGTAAATGTATAAAATTTAGAAAAAACGGGAGAAAATTTTTAGGGCTAGATGAAGAGTTCTTAAAAGAAATTATCCAAAACAGGAAACATTGATAAACTGTACTTCATCAAAATATAGAGCTTTTGCTTAAATTAAATTTTAAAACGCCAATTAAGAAGATGAAAGACAAGCTACAGACTGGGAGAGACTTTAATAAACATATATCAAAACACTAGTATCTATAGTACATGGGTATAAAGAACTCTCAAAATATAACAGTAAAAAAAAAAAAATTAGAAAATGGGCAAAAGACTTCACTGAAGATAAACAAAGGTAAGTAAACTGTTGCTACAAAATCTTAGACCCCCCTTTATTTAAAATATACAGATGTGAGGTTCTAGTTTCTTGACATATCCTTCATCTACGTCTATATACACTTCTGAACGTGGTGTTTCGATTTCTGTAGCCCTTCCTGGAAGAACTTG